ATCCATCGATGATATCCTCCTCGCAAGACACCGATTCTCGCTTCCTCCGACGCGGAGGCCGGTGTCTGGCCCCAGGGTAGCTGGGTCTGCATTCTCCTCCATTGGCACGAAGCAGGGAGTCTCCTCTGCAGAGTTCTTGGTCCGAGGCCGAGGATGGCGACGAGGCCCTGTGCTCCGCGAGATCCGCTCTCCTCCGCCGCCGCTCTCGGTCACGCTGCGAGCGGGAGCGGCGGCTCTGCCTGAAGCCTCCGCTTCGACTGGGACCATCCATGTCAATGTCCGTACAAAGGCACTTGTTAAAAACACACCCTGTTCCTGCCTGGGAGACTTTAAAACTATTACTGAATAAAAACCAACGCCTCCAGGACCAGTGCTCTTGATCTCAGATGTAATTGTGGTTTAAGGTTTCTGTCTTATAATTTAATGGAGTCCAGTGGAAGCTGTATGGTGCGAGCACACTGCAGTCTGAGTTCAGTCATGTCTGGGCATCACCGGGCCTGTTTTATCCAATAACACAGCGATTATGAAAGCTTCTAGATAATCCAATTACTGTCTTTCTGTCAAGACATTGTCACTTTCATCTGGGGAAGGAAAAAGGAGAAACTACCCATGAGTGGCGTAGTCGGACTTTTAAAGATTCAACATGGCTGTTTAACTAAGAAAATATGCATTAGTTATGATGGAAACAACTATTTTTCTTCATATAGAATATTCACTAAAAGACAAAAAAATTTTTTTTACTCAAATTACAAACTATAACTACATTATGTTAATGACATCTGCCCAAAAATATGCTACTTTATAAGTTAGGGCTGAGTTTTAGTTAGTAAACTTTATTAAAAGGTACAAACAAAGGCCAACCGTGGCGCAAAAAAAGATCCTTTTAGACTAAAATATTTTAGCCAAATTGTTTCTTTTCTCAATCTGAAGCAGATAAATCGGTTAATGAAGCGACGAGTTAAATCGCTCGATGTTAGCTTGCTAACTTCGCTAGCTAACCAGGATAGGATCGCGGATTAATTAAACACTCGCTTTTAAACGACCAAATTCGTAACATTTTAGTTTATTGTACAATACATGACAGTATTAGAATTATGTTATTGTGATGTTGCCAATTATTCAACGATTATAATATATCCGGTGTAACTTAAATAACCAGGCGAGCAAACATCAGCCAACGTTACGTGAACCACCTTATCATTTATCAAATGTCATTTTAAAAGATCAATCACCCGTTTTACAATTGTCTAGCTCGTTACATCTCTCCCAAAACATCTGTCGAAGGTGCCCAAAGCTATTTATTATGACTCTAATAAAACAAGCTAGCCATGTAACGTTAGCCTGAGCTTCGTTGACACCCCACCTTGCACTTCACATTTAATAAGGAAATTACACTAATCACTCAGTTCGGTACATTAATGCAACCAATGAATGTACCCAATTGTCTATTTGCGGATTTAAAAACAAACCCCGTCAGCTGAAACATCATACATACTAGCCCTTCAGCTTTCTTTAACGACCAGATGAGAAAAGGGGACACTGCGATAGGCTTAAATCTCAACTAAACTATAAAACCTTCTTTTAGCTCAAAACTAACACCCACTCCGTCTTGTTTTACTGTCGATACTCAAAGGCACAGACACGAACAAAACAACGACAATATTTCCAATCACACCCACCACTCGCGCTGTACAGAGGGCCATTTTCCTCTGGCTTCTGCTTTCGTCCGAGCCTCCATTTAAAACGATAATAATATACAACAGGCCTCGAGGCCTCGGTCTGGAGTTGCTCCGTCAGGGATGTTGAGCGCAGCCCCGTCAGCGCAGGCTGGGCTCCTCCTTCCGCGGCCCGCTCTGTGATCTACTGAGTGCGGTCAAGCTGGAGATTTCGCCGGTGTCCGCAGCAGGAGCGGTTTTCTTTCTCTAGTGTATCGTGAAAAAGGATCTATGAAAGCTTGCTTTTCGTTGCGATCGTCAAAATGGAATAAATAGATTTCTTCAGTTTATTTGGGTGGCTAAAGAATACATGAAGCCTGGGTGGATAACCCGTAGCAGTCAAACTGCATTGTGTGCTTCTGTCGGGTTTTCTTCCTCTGTTGATTCACTGAAGACCAACTACACTGAATGCGACGACAGTACTGCCATCTACTGTCATTGAAGGGCATGAACGATGTGCCTTGTATTTACAAATATAGCTTATGTTTTTTCTTTCTTTTTTTTTTTTTTTTTCACAGTCTATGGTTCACAGAAGGTCCTGGCAGTAGCCTACACATTTGTTCTCATCATCCAAAAAAAGTGTTTTAACCATTTGCCATCATATATATATATATATATATATATATATGGATGTATGTATGTATAAATAACTTAAACGTGCCTATTTTATGTTTTTTTCCTGGAGATTTGACTTTAAAATTTGTTTGGAGATTTTCTTTAATCCAATTATCCATTGTGGGGGTTTTTTTTGTATTACTGTATATGAATTTGTTTGTGTTTTATAAGTCATATAATACTGGAACAGTGCAGAATATCAAAATTTGAATTGTAGAATATCAAAATAAAGAGATGGTATGTGCAGTGTAAGAGGTTGAAGAATTTCAACGTGATCTTACAAATGTTATTATTATTATTACACTCTAAAAAAGTGATAATTTGATTTTACATAAAAAATTGAATTTGATAAATACAATAACAATACAATTTTATAATAAGAAATAAAAAAGTCATAAATGTCCCTTTTTTAAATATGTTTAGGCTATCTTATAGAATATGATAAATATGATATCTTTAAATCAAAGGAGAAAACTACACATGTACTTATTTATTGCAAAAGCACTTTTAGGTAAGTTACCTTCCTATATATCAAATCTTTTAATTTATCACACAAATACCTACCAAACTAGGTCTGGCTCTCATCTCCGGTTAAAAGTCCCAAGTGTACTGTCAGAATTTGGTAAAAGTGCTTTTTCTTTTTACGCCCCTTGGAGTTGGAATGATTTACAAAATGTATTGAATTTAGATGCACTCCCAACTCTGACCTCCTTTAAACGTCTCTTTCTCAATGTTTTAAAGGACAATTGCAACTGTTTTTCTTAATTCGTCTTTATCCATGTTGTTTGTGAAGTGTACATTGTGGTATTTTATTCTGTGATTCTTGTGTATGAAACTTCTTGTGCTGCCGTCTTGACCAGGTCTCTCTGGAAGAAGAGATAGTAATATCTCAATGTGACTCTCCTGGTTAAAATAAAGGAAATAATAATAATAATAATAATAATAAAAAAGCCTAAAACTACCAAAAAATAGTAAATAATAAATAAAATAATCAAGGCATTGTTATTTCACAAAATCTTAAATGTATTAAATAAAGAAACAGTTTTAACCATGGTTTTAACAGCATTTATGCTTGTGCTCGCCATAGTATATCATTTTCTAATTGTTTCAGGACCACATAAAAAAGAGGTTTCTGATTGCTGAATATACACAGCAAGTATGATCACAAGATAAATAACGTATAATTACAAAAAAACGAATATAACGGTAGTATAGCAAAATAAATTTACAGAACCATTTGTAATTTATAAGTTTAGTCTGTCATGAATGTAGACTATCTTTTTTTATTTACTTTTTTATTCAATAATTGTTTTACATGCACCTAGGCTACCTGTTGTTTGTTGAAAGTATTGTATGACGCATTTCCTGTGACGTAGATCTTTACAAAGGAAGAACATTCATATGCGGAAGAAGCAAGAAGCTGGAAAACAATCGGGTGGATCGACGAACTGTAACTTTGAATAAGGAATAAAAGAAACAGACGACGGCGTGACATTTGGCCTGCTCAACTATTTCTGTCTCTGGTGGACGGTTTCCACATTAAGAAAGGGCAAGGTAAAAACGATAGAGATGAAGGCCTCCAGCTTTTCTTTCTTTTATTGAGCTAATTTTAGCAACTGACCTCATTATTATATATGTTATTTAGGAAAAGTTTGAGTGATTTTTATAAAAGAATAATCATTTGAATATGTTATTTTTTTAAGCTTGAGTCTGAATTATGAGTGTCCTTTCGAGTCAGTCACAGAGTGTAATGCTATGGCGGTGTTTACAGTTTACATTGTCATTAACAGTATCATATAAAAGCTAAATAGTATGGAGTGATATTTTTTCTTAAACTGAGAAAAGAACAATATTGTAAAATATTTTAATTTGAGACTAGCTATTAACCACCATGATATTCCTGAAAAGAATGATGTCATAGCATCACGTGCCCGAGAGTCACTGTCATTAAGTCTGAAATGGAAATATGAATTCCTATCTATGACAATCATCTTTCTGTATTGTTGTCTAGATAATTTATCAGATTGTGGAAACCCTAAAGGGATTAAACTAAGACTTTCGTTCATATTCAAAACACAAATGGAGATCTTTTTGACTGCACTGACACGTCAAAAAGTCCATAAAGAGATCATATAACTAATACATGATATGGATTGAGTGGTCTTACTTAAAATTTTCAGAAGAAACTCAATCGCTTTCTTTGATGAACAGACTGAATTTAGGCTTCTATTCACATATAAACATTCATCAACACACACATTAGTTGTGTTAAACAGATGTGCGAGAAACAATGAGGTTCATTCTCGTGTTATGCCTCACGTTTGATCTTATGCAAGAGGTCCATTCTCACACGTCAAGCAGGTTCGGTTGTGCTTCTGTTCATTTTCGCTGATCAATGTTTATATGTGTTGTTTGGAACAACATGAAGGTGAGTAATTAATGATGGTTTAAACGGCTTCAAACGCCTAACAATCTGGTCTTTTTTTCTCTCCTTTTTTGTGTCAGATGGAGTTCCTGTTTGGAAAAAGAAAGACTCCGGAGGAGATGCTCAGACAGAATCAGAGAGCGCTAAACAGAGCCATGCGAGATCTAGACAGAGAACGCCAGAGGCTGGAGCAACAGGAGAAGAAAATAATTGCTGACATTAAGAAAATGGCCAAACAAGGACAGATGGTTTGAAGAGTTTTCATTTGATATGTTTCTGTTACTGACATATCCATGAAGTCTCGCTTGAGTGCAAGTAATATTCTTTTACCGACAGGATGCTGTGAAGATCATGGCTAAGGACTTGGTCCGCACAAGACGATACGTTAAGAAATTCATAATGATGAGAGCCAATATTCAAGCTGTCAGCCTTAAAATCCAAACCCTCAAATCAAATAACAGCATGGCGCAGGCCATGAAAGGAGTCACTAAAGCCATGGCCACCATGAACAGACAGGTATATCTGCAGTAGCATTCTCAGTTTGTATTTGTCTTGTCAACAGACAGCTTGTGCATCTATTTGATTATGTGAATTCTTATTCTCTCAATGCAGTTGAAGTTGCCACAGATTCAGAAGATCATGATGGAGTTTGAGCGCCAAAGTGAAATCATGGACATGAAGGAGGAGATGATGAACGATGCAATCGATGATGCAATGGGAGATGAAGACGATGAAGAGGAGAGGTGAGGATTCCACCATATCAGCATATTAGGATGAATTCTGAAATATATATAATATATTTGCATTGAAAACATCTATTTTACATTGGTGAGCAAAGGAGACTTTTTTTTCAAAACATAAACAAAATCAGTAGTGTAGCTCCAGAACAGAGATCTGGAACAGTCTCTATACCAGACTTTTTGTACTCGACTGACATGCACTCTTTTTGCTTCAAATGCAGTGATGCTGTGGTTTCTCAAGTTCTGGATGAGCTGGGTCTAAATCTGTCTGACGAACTATCAAGTAAGCCAAAATGACACCAGAGTTTCTGTCGTTCTCATATTAACCCAAATTCGTTCTCATATTAACTTTATTTCTTTCAAACAGGCCTGCCTTCTACCGGAGGAAGCCTTTCGGTTGCAGCTGGGAAGAAAGCTGAACCGCAGCCTACACTGGCAGATGCGGATGCTGACTTAGAGGAGAGGCTGAACAACCTCAGGAGAGACTGAGAAAGACTTTCAGTGAAGGTTTTGATTCACTAAAATGTAGACTGATGCAAAGAGGGGATATGAATGCTCTTTTATTCTGACATTTGACGCTTTAATGCGTCCCTTTTGTTTTTCTGTCCTCTTTTGATGACATGTGCTATGAAAATGTTACCAAACACGTAACCCAAATGAAGATGCAATGCATCAGACTGCTCCTGTTTAGACAAAACCATTTAAAGGAGATAAATCAACAAAGAAGCTTACCCTCCAATTCCAACTTGATCTTTTGAGGAAGTCTTAACACTATTTCATTGCTATAAAAATCGGTTTATCACACATCATATCTTAATTCTAATAAACAGATGGTGATACTAATATTTTATATATATATGCAAAATATATATATGTACAAGATGGAGTCACTCCAAAGGTATATCAGAGAAATCTCTTTGAAATACCCATGCTATTATACTATCATTATCTTCTAATAATATTTTTATTGTGATCTTTTAGTGGTAAATACTTTCATATAATAAATGTGGTGGTACAGTATATTTGTTTCTCAAAGTGATTGATTTCTAGTCCCAGGCCTGTTCAGTGAACTGTAAACCTTCATGAACTAAAGTTTGTGCAAGGCAACATCTCAGTAACTTTTCATTCAATTAAAAAAAATCTTGGAGGCAGTTTTCCAAAGCTTGTTTCGTCACAGAATAATCTAAGGAAATATTAAAAATATTATCAATGTATTTATCTCATGGTGAATCAAAAGAGTTGGTATATTTTGAATATCTTATTTTGCAATTTTTTTTGGTCAATAAACATTTTTCACACTTACGTTTTGTGACATTTGGTGTTACACTTGCATAACAATGGCCTCACATCAGATAAAATGGGTAATTCTCACAAAGACATCTCTAGGTTCTGTGGATTTAAAAAAAAATGAACAAATGAAATTATGCATATAACACAAGATTAAATTGTATTAAAGTGTTATTATAATACATAAAGTCTACAATACCATAAAGTCTGCAACGGTAAGCTTCCAATTCAAGTTATTTGGGAAGAAATACTACAGTAAAACCAAATATGGACATAAGACACTAAAAACTGCATCAATTATGAAATCACAAGAGTGAGTTTTGTTTACTTTTTATTTTTTTGAAAAACAAAAATTCTTGTTTTGTAAATAATGCTATCAATATATCTATGCTGGACATACAACATTTCTGACATTAAATAAAAAAATAACAGCAACATTTTCCTTATTTACAGCCAATATGTGTCAGCAAGGCTATTTACATCGGTCCAGTTGTACACATTCACGAAAGAAAGAAAACAAAACTTGATGTGCATGGTGTTCACAAAATCAACACATGTACACACACACACACACACACAAAAAAAAACGTTTTCAGGAAAATTACCAATTTTCAGTTAGAACAGATCTTCAGGAAATGCATTTCAAAGGCCCTGAAATGAATCCCATGAGGCACAGAATTAATAAAAAATTCAAAAGACAAGCAACACTTTTGGACATGGATGAAAATGGTGGTGTAAAATAAATGTATTTTCAATAAGAATGTTGATCAAAAAACAACCATCAACAGACCAACTAATCGATCTAAAAAATAACGTTAAGGGCATTGTCCTTAAACCTGCATGGGATGCTGAACAGCTTCAGAGAACCCTAAATGCCTTACAAACAAATTCTTGCTACTCTTTTACAAAGGGTCGTTCGTCTAAACAATTTAGCATCCTCACACTAATCCTGCCAATATTTTTTCTCTCTAAACGACTAAGCTATGCCTACAAAATATATACATTGAGGCAGAGGAATTATCAAGACATTCATGCACAATTACGTTTTCAAAAACAAAACAAGCTCTTTAAAGTCATTCGGAACACAACTACATGCAAATGTGCAGCAATACTCCATAACCACAGTTTAGTGCACATTAAAACAGTATTTGCAGTGGAGCCTGCAATGATCAATATCACTAGCCTCAGTGAAAGTACACAGAACAGGACTACAAGTAAAGAATTGAATCAAGGCCACACACTGATTGTGAGAGAACTTAAAATAGCAGTTAACCGGGCAGTTGTTGCTCTATCATCACGGCACAATAAAATGAAAACTCAGCTGTAATGCTGCCATTTCCTTCTCACCCAAACAGTGCTTTGCCTCCTTTAACCCCTGTTTTGCCACTGGACATGAAGTAGCACACGTACGGCTTATTTCCGACAGGTCCTGTGGGGAGTTTGTTTCTTCTGATTTTCAATGCGACATCGACTTCTCTCATCAAGCCAGGGCAACTCAAAATTCCTAGCAGACAACAAAAGTGGATCGACATGTTCACTATGCCTTATGATTATTAAGACAGTTGATCAGTAGTTAAGAGCATTTACATGTTGCACAGGAGATATTTCCAACAGAAAAAAAAGGTTCTTACTGTGCAGGTAAATTGGGCAAAGGTCGACCAAATGCAACTACTGGCAGAAAAGGTGTGACCATGATGGCCTCCACTGTACAAGGGAAAGTCGGTGAAATTATAGTATATAATTTGATAACAGCTGGTTTGTTCATTAATACAATACACAATTAATATTTTATCAAATCGATCTTTCTTAGGCTCTTACCATTCTCCAAATCAGGATGAAACGAGGACACTTCTGGCTCGCTCTCCTGAACATTTGTTTTTTTCTTCTCCATGCGTTGCTGCAGTCTTTGAAGCATACGCTGTTCACGTATTCTCTGAATGTCCCATCTAACGGAAAAAACAGTATGAGTATTAAGAGCATTTAAAGTGTTGTTTTAAGCAGTCTGTAACCATACATAAACCTTTTTGACAGTTATTCAGTTTGTTGTGAAGAAAACTACCACAAAATTAATCAGTTAAGGGAACTCGTGTAACCATAAAGATTGATTTCTTTATATATGCAGGTATTATTCCAGCATGTGTGGATAGGTTTAAGCTAGAATGAACTATGCTCTTGTCAGAAATTTAAGCAAGAGGCTTAAATAACACAACATAACTCATAATCCTTAATTGAACAATATGTGCTTGTTTAGTTTATACACCGTGTTGTAGACATACACTACCATTCAAAAGTTTGGGTCAGTCATTTCTTTCAGCAAGGATGCATTAAATTGATCAAAAGTACAGTAAAGACAATTACATTGTAACAAAATACTTCGATTTCAAATAAATGCTGTTCTTTTGAACTTTCTATTAAATGAAGAATACTAAAAACAGCACATCTGTTTTCAACACTGATAATTAAAAATAAATGTTTCTTGAGAACCAAATCAGCATTTTTGAATGATTTCTGAAGGATCGTGTGCACATGAACGTGTGCACATATCATGCACATGAAAAAAATTAAATAAAGGAGTTAAAAATGTGTTGATGCCACAAAAACAGATTAGGAAAACACCCTTTTAGAAATAAATCTCACCGTTTTCGTCTCTTCTCATCCAGTTCTAACTTTGCGTGCCGTTTCAGAAAAACACCGTCATCAAGACTCTACAGAAACAAATGATGGATACATGACAATGGACCTCATATTTAAGATTCTTGTGACTTATGTTTAATACATATATGATGCAAATGATGACTCTTACTTCGGGGATGTCAACAGCATCCTCCTCCTGGATGGGTTCCATGATGTTTTCCCTCCATGATGGGACTAAGGAAATATTTTTTGTATTAGAATTTGGAAATCAATGTTTATAATGGCCATTTTGCATTTGAACCAGGCACTTACTTGCAACATCCTCCTCTATCTTTGGACACTCTTCCTGTAACGGAGAGGCTGGAGGTTGCTGCCAACAGCATAGGTACATCTCGGTCGTTGTCATGTACGGAAGCTCTTCGGTTTCTCTGCTGTTGTCTCCCTCTGGATTCACGTCCATCTGTCCGGATGATTTCACGTTTGTCTTCTCCGGGGTCTCTTTGCTTCGCAGGTCATGCTGACATGGAGACGTCCCTCCTGTATCTGATTTTTGGGGGGTCATTCTAGAGGCCTTACCCCTTGACCTCTGCATCTTTGTTTCCAACATGTTCATCTTTCTAGACAGAGTATTTACAGGTTATATCAGCCAAGCAGAAGCCACAAGAAGAAAGATTAAGTGAAAAATAACAGGAAAGAGTGACTAACAGGTAGAGCTGCACGATTAATTGTTAAAAGATCGCAATTTCGATTCAAACACCCATTTGATCTCATTCCTAAATGACAATGAAACAGCTCCACAAACAGTCTTTTCAACCACACAGTATTACAATTTTTTTTTTGTGCAAATATTCATATTATCACAGAAGTACTACGCTAAAAGTTTATAGCTTGGATATATAAATAATAATGTCTACGGAAATGATCAAAACAGAGAAAATACTTTTGAAAGTAGCTTGACTCCTCAATTAAAAATTGTATCAATTACATTGTTATGGCAGTACTTAATGTATGTGTAGTGGTAGTGACTTGATGCATGTCATTGAATCATACATACAAAAAATTTGTTCAAATACACTGATTCAACCAGTAATGAAACAAGTGAAGTATTTTTGAGCGAGTCATTGATTCAAACTGACTTTTAAAAAATAATTAATTCAAATTAATTAAACATTTTTAATACTGCAACAATAAACATTTTGTCAGAACCTATAGTAAATATGTCTGTTCAGAAATGTGAACTCTATTTAAAACAAAAATCATGATTCTCAATTTATCCAAAATCGTGCAGCTCTACTAACAGGGGAATTTCCCATTCTTACCTCTTTTGCACTTTGCCACCTGACTTAGATGTCTGAGTTTGAGGGTTGTCCCCCATATCTGATTCCCAAAAGTCATCCGTGTCAGGGACCCATCGCTCTAATGGCTGGAAGAGCTTCTTGTCACGTGGTTCCTTACTTAACAACTGCAAACGGCGCTCCATCCGCTCAATACGGGCAAGCAACTATTTCAAGGCAGGACAAATACATTTGGAAACAAATAAATATCAATATCCCACAAACCATGAATCTCACACTTTTATTTAAAAGTTTGAAAGATTTTTTTATTTATTTTTTAAGTCTCTTATGGTCATCAGTGTTGCATTTATTTGATCAAAAATATAGTAAAAACTGTGAAATATCATTACAAATACAACCGTTTTCTATTTTAATATAGTAATTTATTCCTTTGATGGCAAAGCTCCAGTATCACATTACCACATGATTAGGTGCTCAAGTAACATTATTATTAATCTTGCTCTAAAAAAAAACAGAATTTATTTGAAATAGAAATCAGTTGTTAAATTCTAAATGTATTTTGATCAATTTAATGCATCCTTGCTGAATAATAAAATATTGCAGACCCTAATGACAGTGTACATACCGTGTCTCTGTCTGATTTGAGTTCATCTATTTCCTTGTCCTTAGACTGTAGCTGTTGCTGTTGTTGCTCTATTAAGTCCAGCTGAAGTAGAAGAAGTTGTTTAAGGCAGGTGGCTTGTGCGTGAGGATGACCCGTGATCTTCCTCAAATTTGTCTTTTTACCCTCCGAGTGTTCATGTGACGCCCCCATGGTCTCTAACCCTTTGGCGTTTTTCTCACCCACAGGGTCTCTAGAATTACTATGTGAATTCATGGATACAAACTCTGGCTTGTTATCAATGGTGTTGGTCTGTCCAAGGGGAGTTTTACTTTTTACAGGGGTGCCTTCACCCCCCATTTGTTTAGCTTGAGATGACAGTTTTTCTGTGCCCACAGAGCCAGCCTCTGAAGCCACAGCCAACTCTCTGCCAAGCTTTAACGGCAATGAAGTCCGTTCAGGTTTCCCACCCAAAGTCTTGTCCA